TCTACGTATCATCTGGCTCGTGAGCCCGGCCCAAGCTTGAGATCACTGATGCACCTTGTACCCTCTGATCAAACTTTTTGGAGTTCGGTCTTTCTCGTAGTCGAGTTATAGCACTCGGCCTTCCTTTCAGATTCATCAGAAGTACAGAATCACCATGTTTACTGCATGACCCACGATAAAGGCTCCGCATGAATGTAGTTGGTCTAAATCATCATCTTTGGTCTATTAAACACCAAAGATGAGATTTTCTCTCATGACACCGAAGATCATGATTCCTCCAATGATGGACTGGTTTTTGTGCTTTTGCAAAGAAATGCTTTTTTATTAGTTTTTATCCCACATCTGCTCAGTCCACAAAGCTCGGTGATCTCCAAGTTCGGACTTTCCTATTTTATTTATAGGGGTTGACAGTTGGGTGTTTGATATTTAAGCACTGATAGGACACGGTCACAAATATGATATCATTAGAAGGCCTCACTATGAAAGCCTTCCCGTGGTTTAGTACTAGTATTTGGATTTTTATGAGTAATGCTCTTCTACCAAAGTTATCTCTACTAATAAAGGAATGCAATGCCTCGACAGTGGGCACATTTAGGATATCATTGTCATTACAAATTGTCGCAAGAATCTACAAGGAGGTGCTCGACCTCTATATTTGTTCGACTCACGAAGCTCCGACGTACCATTGTTATTATTTTGTATGTCGATGGACTTCGCAATGCCTGTTATTTTATATGTCCGTGCACTGACTTTGGTGAATGCAAAAATAAGTGCTCTCTTCACGTATTTCATCCAAGTTCAATAATACTTGGTCACCATGAGATGCATATAAATACTTTATCTTACTTGTTCATAAGAATGCCTATACATTTCGTAAAGAGTTCATGTAATACAAGCCTTACCGCGAACCTGTTGGCCGTAAGTGATATTCATAAAGTTTCATTGCATTGTACTCTCCTTTGGTATGGGACACAAGGATTGGAGATTCTGCTATGATGATTTTTCTTTTGACAAAACATTGTGGTGAACAAAATATTTTAAAGATCTTTCCTTAAATGGTGATTAAGATCTTTTTCCAGTGCATGTACCACCCAAACACGCTTGGCACTTAGTAGATTACTGATCTCTTGTCGTAAAGCGGTGGACAGGACGGATTCATTAGTGGGNTATCTCCACCAAGAACTGAAAAACATATCAAGTAAGTTCATCAAAATCTAATTCTATGAATATTTTACATATACATGTATCACTACGTTTTTTCTCTATTTGTTTCCTGTGTTATATAGCTTTGCTGATCAATTTGTCGCAATATTTGTTACTTTTGCTCAAGTGGTGTGTAATTTTTGAAATTGCAATTAATGATCTTTGTTGGAATTTTTTTAATTCTGCAATAGTTGTTCTTCTTTGTAAAGATATTAACAATTTGGAAAAAAAAAAGAAAAAAAAATTGACAAGTACTAAATTCAAATAGGTTTTATGATGGTATTGAGAGTCTACATGAAAGTAGCTAGCTTTGACTAGTTTTTACTAACCTACAATTAGCAAGGCATTTACATGATTTCAGGTTCAAGCCTTCATAAAAAAACTTCTGCCAGTAGTGCAAGGAGGAGAGTTTGTGGAATACAAGATCTCTCCTCCCAACATGCCGGCCATGATGGGTCTTTAGTGGGCCACAATCGAGTCAGTCCTATCCAACCTTAAACACGTTATATTTAATTTTATTTTATTATACAAATTTATTANCATGATGGGTCTTTAGTGGGCCACAATCGAGTCAGTCCTATCCAACCTTAAACACGTTATATTTAATTTTATTTTATTATACAAATTTATTATATTTTTACAGAGTTATAAAATCATGAATTTGGGCACACAATGTGATCTTAGGATATAAAAAATTAAGTTTTATTGATTGAAATCGAATGATAAGATGAGCAAAAGCGTACTATTTTTCCTGTAAAACGAGCAAATTGTTAGAGATCGAAATAAACAAGTGGAAGACACTCTGATGCTAAAGTAAATAAGGGCTTTGAGAGGAAATTTTTTAATCGGATTCTTCTTGATTGGTACTAAAATATCTTCCAACTTCCTTTNCACTCTGATGCTAAAGTAAATAAGGGCTTTGAGAGGAAATTTTTTAATCGGATTCTTCTTGATTGGTACTAAAATATCTTCCAACTTCCTTTGACTTTCTAGATCACATATATAATGCTTATCTTTGACTTAGGCAACTTACTTATCGATTTAATACCACCTCTAACTTCTCGAGTTAGGCTTGCTATCTCTTTTAATATAGGTTGACTCCAAACAAAACCCCAACTGTTGGCTCTGCCCGGTCTAGACTATAGCTCAGTTAGGCTAACAGCTCGGCCATTCTAGCCGAGCACTTCTACTATTTGCTCCGTTGACTGTGACATTAGTTCGGTTGACAAGTTTCCCAAAGACATCTTTCTTTTTCCATGTAAGCCTTTGTCACGTGCTTTAGAACACGTGGCCTTATTAATTGGTTCAATCATACGTAGTCATTTCATGCCTCCTCATTTGGCCCTAAGAGAATTTCTATCACGTGGCACATGTCTATTGATTTTGTGGATCTATATGTCAAAGCCAAGGAAGAATTAATAGAAAAAGCATTAAAATATTATGCAGATTCGATTAAACTTTCTAGGCCTGAGTTTGTGAAAATGATGTTACTTGATTGGTACATGCATGTACATTACCATAGAGTTATTGCGTGGGCTTTGTGACTTGGGAATGAGACAAAAGGATATTTTGCAATCGAAAAGGATTTAAAATATTTTTAACTCTAGAATTATTACATTAATTCAGAACAAAATTAGTAGGTATGAATTTATCAATAGTTTCGGGACATAATTAAGTTGATTTGTTTAATTTGTTTAATAAATGGTCCCAATTAATTACACCTAATACACGATACGAATTAGAATGTACATGATTAGAAGTAAGACAAATATAACTTAAACTTTGATAAGATATAGTCCTTCTTTGCTTCCAATTCATCTTTGAATCTGTCATAGGTATTGCAAGGGGAAAAATGGGTTTACCTCACGTCACACTCTTTTATTGGGCTTGAATTTGTGGTGTTGATCCCTTCTTTGCAAAACAAACAAACTGACCAAGATTGAAGTGCTTCGATCGAAGGTACTCCGATACTTAAGTCAATAATGGAAGAGGAAATATAAATTTAGAAAGGATTCAACGTACCTCTCCCGTGTTCTGTTCGTTCCCTTTTATAGTGNGCAAAACAAACAAACTGACCAAGATTGAAGTGCTTCGATCGAAGGTACTTCGATACTTAAGTCAATAATGGAAGAGGAAATATGAATTTAGAAAGGATTCAACGTACCTCTCCCGTGTTCTGTTCGTTCCCTTTTATAGTGACTCCTTTAGCTGAGATTTCGGGAAGTAATACTATAGGGTGGCACACCTTGCTTTGATTCGAGATCTTAGTTAGGATTCTGTCGAAAATCTCTCTTAAGATCATCCCTGGCTCCTTCCGTGTGGATAATCATGCTTATTTGGTTACATCAATCCCTTTATTATAGTTGTTCACCAATGGTGATACTCTCTTCAAACGTCAAGCTCGGTTCTGTCAGGGCTGTGCACATAGAACTCGGTTTTGCCGAAGTCGAGCTGTGTTTTCCTCTCTATTGAACAGCTGAAAGCTCGGTAGGACATTTGGCTTCCTCCGCCCTACCATTCACGTGTTCTCGTATCGTCATCCTCACGTGAGTGCATTTAATGTTGATTACATGTGTCGTAATTCTTAGTACGCCTTTACTTGCCACAGAAATGTGTGTCAGACATTTTTCGCCTGGCAGTCGTTTTGTGCTTTGGTCCCATCATTACCTGTGTCCTGGAGATTTACATTGTGCTCTAGCGCCGTACCTTTCATTAATTTTCATTTTCCTTTGGCCTTTTAGTTTCCCTTCTTTAAAAGGTGAAACTTTTCTTACTTCGTCTCTTTCACTTGCCTCTTCTGTCATTCCCTGTCTTCTTGTTTTGTTCTTTGTCTCCTTCAATGGCTCCCCTTATTCCTTCTGAAATTCTAGCATTCAAAGCCAAATATCAGATTCCGGATGATGTCGACATTCGCGGTGCCGAAGCAGACGAGCCACTTATTGGTACCAACTGAAGGCAGAGTTCGTTTCCCTCTTCATCCTCTATTGCTTTGGGTGTTTTCTGCACTAAAGCTCTGCCCCATCCAATGCTGCCATAATCTTTTCAGTGTTGTGATGGGTGTGGCTGTACTCAACAAGCTGTTGAATCTAAACCTAGGCCTTTGGGAGATCCTATATTACTACATTGTCAAACCTACTGGGGATAATTACTACCTAGAAGTCAGGAAGAAAGATAGATATTTGGTGACCCATCTCCCTGATTCGAACAAGGGTCACGAGAATGACATTGTATTCATTTCTGGTAACTAGGAATATGCTGCTGGGAAACTATGAAGGGAAGAATCCCTGAGCAATCTATGAAGATGGTTGAGTTGAAGAGGGTATGGGATTTTAATGACTCCCTCTTCTGTCGAGCTGCACACACTTTGCTTGGTTATACCCCCACCTATACTTCCTTTATAGCTGTTCCTTCTTGACCAAATGCTACTCTTGTCGAAGAACAAAGAGCTATTCAGTCGGTTCGGCAACAATCACCTCGACCTTGGCCTAGAACTTTGCCTGGTCCCACAGAAAGGGGCAAGCCGGTGAGGAATTTTCTTTCATTCCTCTCACTTTTTGATGATCCAAATACAGCTCAATCGTCTATTATCCCCACTTCTATCCCCACTTCATCTGCTCCCACTGTTATTACCGAGCCAGAACATATGGTTGAGCCTGTGACGGTTCCCCCCGTTCAAGTCCTGGTTGATTCTGCCCTAGTCTCTCCTGTTCAAACTCACATACAAGCTACTACTTCTGAGCCCATCACAACTCCAGCTGTCATTCCAGAGCCTGAAATCATTCTTTCTCACGAACCGACCTCCAAGAAATGCAAAGTTTTAGAATCTGACATTGCTAGTTTTGAGCCCGCTGTCCCTCATTTTAGACCTATTTAGAGGAGTGGTCCTTCCTCGAGACCTAGCTGCGAATAAAGCTCTGTCAGATGATGAAATCACTCGACAAGCTCTTCAATAGATGGTCCTGGTATCAATTCTTCCCCCTCTTATTTCTATTTCTTCCTTTCTTTTTATAGTCCTTTTGTGTAGGGCTTTCAAAAAGTGTATGAAGTCAGTGCAAGGATTGCAAAAAAGGATAAGGCCATGAAAGAGGCTATCCATGAGCGCATGTCTGCCCTTGCAAAAAAGGAATCCATTGATGAGGAGTATGCAAAACTTTGTGAAGATATGTTAGTCTTACAGGCTCAAATGCTTAGCCTGTCAAGAGAAAAGAACAAACTTGTTGCCGAAGAGGACGAGTTGAAGGTGTCTAAGAGTGCTCTTAAAATTGAACTTTCTCAGACCCAACTTGATCATTCCAATCTTTTGGAGGAATTTGAAAAGCTCAAAGCTGAAACAAAGAGTTTAGAAGATGCTTCTTTTGAGCAAGGAATGAAAAAAGCTAAGAACAACTTGGCTTCTCAGATTACCATGCCGCAGAAGGCATATTTTGCCAAAGGTTGGAATGCTGCTTTGGTTGTTGCAAGTGTCCCTTGAAGCTCTGATTTGTACAACTGTTATCCTCCTGACCCTCCATCAACCTAAGAAGAACTGTTCTGAAACTGTTTTGAACTTATGAACATTTTGCTGCTTTAGTTGTATTTTACCCATTTGGGTATTTTGCATATATACAAGTAGTCTTTTTGTTTCAGTATTGTCAAAGTTGGCCTCTTACTTCCTTGTAAAATACTTTACTTTTTCAAGAAGTTAGAACTCGGTCTAAGTTTTTAAACATATGAAAGTTCCAAATCCTAAAAGTTATAGCCTACTTGGCCTTTACTTGTATGAGCTCGGTCCTCGAACTAAGAGCTCAGACACGGCAAAATTTTTAGCAACTAAAAAATTTGGCTTGTTCAGCCCTGACTTTGGGAGTTCAGTCCTCACGTTCAAACCTTTAAATATCTTGGCACTAGTTTTGAGAGTTCAGTCCTCATACTCGGACCTTTAAGTAACTCGGCCCTAATTTTTAGAGTTCGATCCTCAAGCTTGGACCTATAATTAGGGCCTTCATTCACTTACAAAAAATTTCATTTAGAAACTAGATTGGTTGCTTTGAACCCTTTTGTTTCTTTATTCGTATCGACCTGTTGATCTAATCAGCCTCGGATCACTACCCAGTAGGTTTACATCATTATGCCTAACCAAGGGTCAGGATTCGATCAGGTGATACACCTGACTCAAGCCATTGCTTCTTTCAGGATTTTCTGCCTTCCTACCTTGATAGTAAGACGTGTTTAATATTGGACATGTACTTAGAAAATAATGAAAATTTTTATTCATCAAATAAAAATGAATTACAATTCTCAAATTATGCTGAAAGGTTGCCGATCTATAGGGGGCACCCCTATTTTTCGAAGGCACTTCGAAGCTCATATTCATGAAGGTACTTCAAAAATAGAACTTTCGCAGGGTGAATGAATTCCACGGCTGCAATACTGCCTTGCCATCAAGAGTCTCGAGTTCGTAAGACTCATTTCTTCCTACTTGAGTGAATTTGTATGGACCTTCCCAATTGGCACCTAGCTTCCCATGCGTTGGGTTCCTGTTTGAGCCTAAAACTCATCTAAGAACTAGCTCGCCAGTTCTAAAAGTACGAGGTCTATAGATTTGTTATAGGCCTGAGACATTAGTTGTTTATAGGATGTAATTTTCACTACAGCTGCTTCTTGCTTCTCATCAAGTAAATCCAATTCCCAAGCTATGGAGGAATCGTTGCCCCTACTGGCGACTAGTTCGGTTCGGAGAGTAGGTAAGCTAACCTCTGTTGGTATTACAACCTCCATTCCATAGGCAAGAGCGAATGGTGTTTTGTCTGTTGGTCGCCTCAGCGTAGCTCGATATGTCCATAACACACTTGGCAACTCCTCCGCCCATCTACCTTTGGCGTTCTACAACCTCTTTTTAATTCCTTCAAGAATAGTCTTGTTGGANGCCCATCTACCTTTGGCGTTCTACAACCTCTTTTTAATTCCTTCAAGAATAGTCTTGTTGGAAATTTCTACCTAGCTGTTGCTTTGGGGGTAAAACCGGGGGTGAAATAATGATTCCGAATTCCATATTGTTGGCATAATGTTCTAAAGGGACCATTTTCGAAATGAGTCCCATTATCGGGTATGCCAAATCTAGTGATAGTGCTTTTTCATNTATAAGCCGAAGCACCATATGAGAGCAGTACCCAAGTAGCACTAGTGCTATTTGGATATTTGCATATGAGAGCAGTACCCAAGTAGCACTAGTGCTTTTTCATACGAACTTCCTTGTGTCTGTATCATGGATATTTGATAGGGGCTCGACCTCTACCCACTTTATGAAATAATCTGTTGCCACCAAGAGGAGCCTCCTATTTCCAGGAGCCCGTGGCAATGGCCCCACAATGTCTGATCCCCATTGAGTAAATGGCCATGGGCTAGAAAGAGGAATTAGATCTTGAGCTGGTTTTCTGACAATCGAAGAAAATGTCTAGCATTTTTGACAGTGCCTCATGAACTGTTGAACGTCTTTCTGCATATAGGGCCACCAATATTCCTGCGTAAGAGCTTAGTGAGCCAATGATCTACCGCCAGTATGCGCCCCACAACTACCCTCATGAATCTCTAATAGAAAGTCTTGGACCTCGCTTGGGGGGATGCATTTCAAGTAGGGTCCGCCGAATGAGAACGCTTGTAGAGCTCCCTTTTGGGGGATAACCATAATCTTGTTGCCTTTAATTGGAGCATGTGTGCTTGTCTCTTATCTTTAGGTAGGCCTCCATCTCTCAAATAGGTGATAACTCTGTCCATCTAGCTTGGCAATTNTAATCTTGTTGCCTTTAGTTGGAGCATGTGTGCTTGTCTCTTATCTTTAGGTAGGCCTCCATCTCTCAAATAGGTGATAACTCTGTCCATCNGAATCTTGTTGCCTTTAATTGGAGCTTGTGTGCCTGTCTCTTATCTTTAGGTAGGCCTCCATCTCTCAAATAGGTGATAACTCTGTCCATCTAGCTTGGCAATTGGTCTCCGTAGAATGCCTCTTCTGTAGACGGCTTCATAATACTTGACTCTGCCTTGAATTCAATCATANTCTAGCTTGGCAATTGGTCTCCGTAGAATGCCTCTTCTGTAGACGGCTTCATAATACTTGACTCTGCCTTGAATTCAATCATAATCGTCCTCTCTCTTCCACATTCAGTGGCTGAAGCCAAGGTAACGAGGGCATCAGCTTGGGAGTTCTAAGCTCTTGCTACCTACGGAATGGAAAATTCTAGGATACAGGTCAACTTTTTTTTTACCAAAACATTGTACACCTCCATTCTCTCATCCTTTGCCATGTAATCCCTTGACATCTAACTCACGACGAGTTGTGAATCAGAAAATATTTNAAACATTGTACACCTCCATTCTCTCATCCTTTGCCATGTAATCCCTTGACATCTAACTCACGACGAGTTGTGAATCAGAAAATATTTGAAGCTGTGTTATGTCTAGATTAATTGTGAGCCTAATTATGGCCAACAAGGCCTCGTACTTTGCTTCATTATTTGATGCCCGAAAACTGAGCTTTATAGCTTTCTCTAGCATGTATCCCTCTGGACTCCTTAACATAATTCCTATTCCTGCACCCTTGTGGTTGGATAATCCATCCACAAACAAGCTCCATTATGAGGACTAGATCTGTTCGGCATGTTCTTCATGATTGCCACTCGAATTATCATCTGACTTAGGTGAGAATTCGGTGATGAAGTCAGCTACCACATGTCCTTTAATGGCTGTCCTTGGTTCAAAGTCGATATCATATTCGTCGAGTTCCACGACCCATTTTGAAATGCGACCTGATAGGTCAACTCTACGAAAAAGAGTTTTCAATGGTTGATCTGTGAGGACACCAATTTGGTGCACCTAAAAGTAATGGCGCAACTTTCTTGTCGAACTTACTAGCACCAACGCTAGTTTTTCCAATAGTAGGTACCTTGTTTCGGCATCGAGAAACATCTTACTGACATAATATATTGGGTAGAGTACGGTATTTTCGTTCCTCATTAGCGCCTCCCTCACTGAGTGCTTGGACATAGCCAAGTATAATAGTAGTTGCTTATCGGGTCTCGAGACTATGAGAACGGGTAGAGATGCTAAGTATTTTTTTAGCTCGAAAAAGGTCTCCTCGCATTCTTGGCTCCATACCATGCCCCTTGTTCTGTTAATAGATCAGAAGAAAGGCCTGTATCTATCTGATGCTCGAGAAATTAATCTTCCCAGGGCTACTGCCATTCCTGTTAACCTCTGGACCTCCTTGGTGGTTTTGGGTGATTGTAGTTCTGCTAATGCCTTTACTTGTTCGGGGTTCACCTTAATCCCTCGGTAAGTCACCAAGAATCCAAGGAACTTACCCGAGCCCACCCGAAAGCACATTTTGAAGCGTTGAGCTTCATTTGATATCGTTGGAGGACATCAAAAGTCTTCCTCAGGTCAAAGGTGTGGCTACTAACCTTCCGAATTTTCACCACCATATCATCGATATGGTCTTCCATGGTGTCCTCAATCATGTGTGAGAACATTCTCNCTGATATCGTTGGAGGACATCAAAAGTCTTCCTCAGGTCAAAGGTGTGGCTACTAACCTTCCGACTTTTCACTACCATATCATCGATATGGTCTTCCATGGTGTCCTCAATCATGTGTGAGAACATTCTCGTCACTAACCTCTGGTATGTTACCCCTGTATTCTTTAAACTGAAAGGCATTACCTTATAACAGTATGTCCCTTTGGGTATTATAAACGCTGTCTGTTTTTGGTCTTTGTCAGCTAGTGGGATTTGGTGATAGCCTCTGTAAGCATCTAAAAAACTCATCCACTCGTGCCCTGTTGTTGCATCGACTAACTAGCCAATTTTTGGCAAAAGAAAACTATCTTATGGACATGCCCTAT